TAAAATGATCAATTTACATCATGAATAGTTAACAGATACGTACAATAGCAATGCACAGTTATTATTGATATGAATTGTGGATGAAGCAAAGCGAAACTACACAGTTTGTTCACATCAATAATTTACATTACAAAAGAAGACTGATAAAACGACCAAGTAACTGTAGTTACTTTGTCGGTGAAACTATAGAATAATATGCTGACGCACATGCATATATGGAATAATAAAAATGGTGATGATAATAATAATAATAACAATATCAAATGAATTATTAATATATAGTAGTTATTTATTGAGTATAATTTAAAAAGCATGCATGCATACGAGATCCATGTATGTTTATTAAGCAGGTTAATGATGCGATCAGTCTACTTAAGTCGGCAAACGCAAACGACTAAAGTGCAAAGTTCTGATGTGAAGTGAAGCAGTAGCAACACATCATCAAGTGTTTCTGGTGAATATGAGACACTTTTATCACTTCACGCATATAATCACCACTATGCTTGCTTATCAACTACCTTATCAGCACCTTAACATATGATTTCTCAATTGCATTCTTCATTCACTGGCTTGTTCTTCATATCTAAAAGCTTGTTGCTACGTCACCTGTGCACGACCCATCAATACGACTCAAATTTAAGAATCACAAGCATTTCCAAAGAAAAGCTCATGGAATTTGTTACTTATTTGGTATATACGTTTTTCATAGCATTATATCGGTAGAATAGAACACAGTTGCGTTATTGCTGTCTGTAAACATATTTAGTGATGAACCTGAACATTACCTCCGTCATAACATGGAGTTATTTGATGCGGTGCAATCTATACCGTGTCACATACTTATTGCACGTGATATTTGGACAACAAAAGCATAATATGCTCGACTTGCATTGTATTTCGAGAGTATTCTCGCAAATCGTATATTTTCAGTGGGAAAATTATCACCTACACGCAATAGGCAATCGAATACAACTAACAGTCTCATATTTGTTCAAAAAATTCATTCGATTCAATTAGTTAGTTATTCCGCTAACTAGCGAGTAGCGCGATTTTGCACATATTATCATATCAATCAGAATTAGTATTCTGATGTACAATAACATATTGTCATGAACAAAAGATCGCATTAGATCCTCCAACTCAATATGAATACAAGGGAACATAATCTGTTATGAAGTAGTCATTTCTGATCCAAATCAACAATAACTCCATCGAATGAACCAACATTCTAGTATAAAATCACTAGTATTTATCAAAATTTCTATCAATTTCATCAAAATAACCGATACTGTAGGATAAAATTAACACTTACTATAGCTTTCTAAGTTCATGGAGACCAAGCTGTGATCTTTTTCAATTGAAAAATGAAACCTTATATTTCTAGATGATGAAAATAAAGAGGAAATTAGGTGGAATGTAAACTGAAATGGAGGCGATTCAACCGTTCCCAATCAGTCCATGTTGGTGATTCATTCAGTTTATTAAAATATATCAACACTCAATGTTCCGTTCCGTAAATCCCTCTCTTTCCTATTTTTCTTAGCCGTTATCCACATTGTCTTCTTCCAGACTCAATACGCTTCATTTCTGTAAACGATGCTAAAGCCTACATATTCTTCCACAACTTACAAACCACATTGGGCTCCATAAACCACTGCTCATCATACTGGCTTCCACTGCTCGATACAGAAAAAACAAAACTGATTAGAACTGGTATGAACAATCCTGAAAATCCTCTTAAAATCCAAAATCAAGAATTAGCTCCTTCCTCATTCGTCCAAGAACTAGGCATCATAACCTTGTTTATGTGTCTGTTCTCTTGTGTTTGTTGCTTTAGCTTGGTTATCGTTGTTATCTTCCTCTCTTTTAGTGTAGCGTTTTACCCATTGCGATTACTTATTTGGTCCAAATTGTTTGCAAAGCATTTTGGACGCTCACTTCAACGATTGAGGAAATGAAATAATTTCGTCTCATTGAGTTATTCTATCATCATTGTTACTATTTTATTGAGATTATCACCTGTATGATTATTATTTCTTAAATTTATTTTTCCTTTCATGGCTGATATTATTTATAGGTATTACCACCCAGTGCAGTCAATGCTTTCTTCTTTCGGTTCCATCAAAATATTCTGATTTCATGTTGTTATCGTTCAAGCTAATGCTTTTGTTTATCAAATTTTATCATTGGTCCTTGATAGGAGAAACTTGAGAGGTATTATTGTTTCAAATCTATGACATGATCGATGTGTTGTGATTAGATTGTCAATATCGAATGGAACTAATGAGATGTGATGAATTAGTAGAGAAAAACAAAGATCGAAGAGATAGTAATTGGATGGATGTAACAAGTATAAATTTTGACAGATGATTGCTTTTTTGCTGTAATTAACAAATTAATCGTCTGTTTTTATTATGGATTGGTGATCACCTATTATTGAATGATTCAATAAAAATTTCCAACTGCTCAATGGCGTTAATGAGGTTTCCCCGTACAAATAATTGGTGCAGTTGCAGTTTTTGAGCGGAGATACCAAATTGGCGATAGCGAATAGCAGACTAATTTTGCTTCATCAGCAGTTCAGCGTCAGCGTTTCGCTGATTTTTTTGGCAGTAATACCGATTACGGATTTTTCTCAGTGGATCAAACATTTTCTTGTCAGTGGATCAGCGGCGCTGACATCTTTCAATAGTGTGCTCGTTACTGCAAGGGGAGCGTTACATTTCGAAAAAAAACTGCGATGAAACTGTTTATCTAGCGTCGTGACAGAATAGATTCGACTAAATGAGTGCAACTAAATGATTAGCACAAAACGAAACAAATATTCAACAAAATCCAAGTTTCTTATTGAGATTGGCACGTAATCGATAGAAGAAATTCATCTTTAGCACATCTTCTTTGGCGGCGTTCATTTGCTGCGATTCAAAATGATTCTTGAACTGCAAACAAAGCTGATCGATATTCTCATCAACTTTTGCAATCATTCGCTTGACTTCATCTTCAGTTTGCAGTGAATCTGCCTCTTCGTTTAATTCCATCATAAGCAACATGAAATCACCATTACTTGTCGTTGTTTCTGTAAACGAATGACTATTATTTCTAATGACGATCCACAAAACAAAGAAACTGAACTCTTCAACAAATACTCGCACTATTTCTGTTCGACATAAACGATACTTTCATTTTCGTCTCCTGGAGATACGCTATAAAAATATGACTGTAGTAACAAAAATGACACACGCGGTAATAAGAACAGCAACAGTAACGATGATCATAACAAATGTAACTATGACTGCACTATAACGACAACTAATAAACGATACCACAATTGAAATGTAGTAAATCAGAAAACAGAACAGGAACAAGCAACGTTAAATGCACCTTCAGCATTACACGACTGTCCCTTCAGTTCAAGCAGATATTTGGCGCGACGTAATGGCTCTGTTAATGTTTGATATGCATCATTCAAATAACTCGAACAAAATTCCGATATCTCTTTTTCTTTCTGAAAATTTTTACAACAATAGCAAAATTATTATTGATGATAACAGTGTCCAGAAAAATGATATTATATTAAGTGATATTATTAATAGTAAGTGAACGAAGTGGATTACGAAACTAGATGCAATCATCTTCGGAAGCGAATTTATGTGAACAAAGAAACGGTGTAGCAAAGAGAAGAGGCAGTTAATGAAAAGGCACAAATAATGAACCATCGAGCAGCGTGTGAATTTATCCGGGTGTATTTGAGATTGTAGCTGCAAGAAATGCTTCTTGATAAGAGACGTGTCGACATCAAATGATGCTCGTACACCCAAATAGTCAAAGAAGTTCTCTTGCAATGGTTGAATTGCCGAACATGACGGACAGAAGAATTTTTGCTGAAGTTTTTCATTCATCAGTGTTTGATATGCATCATTTACGTCATTTTTTGCTTTTGAATGACTTCATACATTTTCTTTTTCTTTTTTCACTCTCACTATCTTACTAAAAACATCGATTGATTGCCAACGAATTAATTGTGCACTAAATTTTAAAACTTGATGAAAAATTCCAACGACAGCCAGAAAAAAGAACGAAATCTGCATTCATTGAGAATATACTGAAAAATATGCGCAGTAAAACGTGAACGAGTAGTCCACGACCAACAAACCAAAATCCACCACCACCACCGATAACAACCACGAAATGATGATAGCAATAAGAACAACTTTGAAAAGTGATTGAAGAAAGCAAGTGAAAGTTAAGAATTCACTCAACAATAATCAATTCTTTTCATACGTTCAGTCGCTTACTTTAAGGCAACTCAGTGCTTTTTCACACTTCCAACAATCACGTGGAAGTTCACAGCCCTCTTTTATTTTGCTGAAATATTCATTCATTTCAAATGCGAGTTTGTTTTTGCGAGCATTTTTAGTTGTTAAAAACACATCTGTAATTCAGACAATATCTTCGCTACATTACTCTCTACACTCATTCGGATCATTCTTAAGCTCTATGAGAAAAAGGATTCTTAAGAAACCAACATTTTCAAATCAGCCTAATTCATACTACCCCACGGAGGTTTCAAAATGATCACACCTCTCTGAAAATTCGTTCAAAGTGGACAGTCTAAATTGCATGAAAACTGAATTGAAATATCTGAGACAGATAAATAGGTAAATGTCTAAATAAATAAATAAACAAACAAACAAATCAACGAATAATTGAGTGTTAATTTTTTTCCTTCAACAACATCACTGAATAATTTCTCATTGTATTTTCTCAAATTCTAAAATTGTAACAAAACTTCAGCACATCTATACACCCACCTAAGCAAGCGTGATGCCGTCTTAGACGCAGCCATACGTTTCACCCTTTGTGCAAGCATTTTACTCTAATACTGTGCTGAAAATAAGGTTGATTTATTCATTGTAAACGCAATAAACCTCTTCCAACCAACATCATATCAAATGGCAGATCAGATGAAAATGTTGTTTGTTCCAAAATCGGAACAGTCCTCATTCATAGCATTATACATACTGAACAATGCAAATAACAACAACAAATCACTTCAATAAACAAAGAAACAAAAACTCCGACAAACAGATATATCGTCGATGTAACCGAGTTACACACACACACATCCAAAAATGCTTCAATATGCTCTTAGAAGCGAATAGCAGAAAAAACAACAAACGCATATTCTTTAGTGTGCTAGTTCATTGTCGAATTGGATGCATGAATACAATTTGAAATTAAAAATATAATCGTATCAAAGAAATTTTAGCATATCGCATTCATCTTTGAAAATATTCAGCAGTCAGAACAAAACTGTTACTCTTTCATTTGTTGTTTTGGTTTGTATTCGAAGAACAACACTGACAGAAAAAAATCCTTTTATTGTCGACGACGATACTGACAACACGAAATGAAACGAAAAAAGTCTGACACAAAAGAACATTACTCAAGAACAATAACAATAATAATAATAACAGTAATAATGATATGAATAATGAATGAACGCTTCGGAAAACGAAAGAACTCATCAACTTTCGAAATCAATTATGAAAAAATGCAAAGCATATTCGAAAAAATTTTATTCCAATAAATTACTGAATAAAGTAACAGTAAGAATTTCCAAAAATTTCAAAGGAATTCTGATATCAAGAAAATCAAATGAAAACCATCAACGAATGCCAATCATTCCACCACTGTACTCTCATCATTTCATTAAGTTTTTTCTCACTGAGAATTAATACTTGTCAGCTAACTGAGATCCTAATTTTCGAGACCTCAACAGAATAATCGCTAAAATTTCAAACGAACCAAACATCCCAAACTGCATATCATTAAAGATAACAACCGAAAACAGAGACCAGTCAGACCAGCCAACGTGTAAGATCTGACAGCATTAAGGTGATAAAGGAGCGCCGTAGAATGATAATGATTCAAAAACTCAATCATACAAACACACAATAAATAAAATAACAACAACAACAACGACAAACTTATTCATTTATTAGCATAATTCACGTACATCACTTGTGACGGTGTTATTCTGAAGTTGTTCAGTGCATTCCGAGCGACAGTCGCCTCTCCTTCGCTTTCAAATTCAACAAATGCAATATCTGGCCGATTCGGAATACGTCTGATATCTTTCAAGCCAGGATATCTGCGAGTAAACATTCAATTAAGTTTCATTCCTTCATCTGTCCAGCAAGCCAATCAGTTCCAACAACGATCGTCCAGTTCACTCAGTAGTTCATCAAATTTCATCAAACTTTCCTTGACAAAAAATTCATCGGCCAAAATTTTCTTCTGAATCTATTCCCTTCAAGTCCGCATAAACAATATGGTGTGTGCTTTTGTCTTGAACATGCAAAAATCAAAGAAAAAATCAACAACAATATTCTCCGACTAAAAGAACTTACGGATTGAATAATAGCGAAAGCATTTGCTCGGTTGTTTCTTCGGGTAGATTCGTACAGAACAGAATTTTGTTCGGTGGATTATTCGTCTTTTCGGCCGCCACATTCGCTGGCTTCGCGGTTGTGGCTGTTTTTTCAGTACGTCCCTACAAATGAATCGGTCAATGAACGTTATCTTCATCGGTTTGGAAATTGACAAACCGGAAAAAAACTGACAACAACCGACACAAAAAATTCCATTAGCACTTTTATTAAACGACAACCGAACTTTTCTGCAAGCATTTCTCAGAGGAACGAAATGCGCGATGAAAGCAAAATAATGAACCAAACAAGATGAACTGGCACAAACAGGAAAATTTTCAAACTTTTTTGCTTTCTTTCGGGACTGTTTGCTTTTTCCGCTTCTCGCCAGTCGCCTGCTTAGCCAATAAGTGCTTCTTTGGTCGATCCACATACGTCCCTTTGGCTTTAGCGATGACATCCGAATCTTCACGCGCGAATTGAATTCGCTAAATGCTCATTGCTTATTTCTCTGTTCCATTTGAATTCTCCTTCTATGACACGTACTCAGTAACATTTCCCCAGAAACTCATTAGGAAATAGAAGAGAAACTGCAAAGAATTCACTCACCATTGGCTTGTCATAGAATGGAAAGCCTTGCATTGCACGTAACGCATTTGTTGCTGAACTAATCTCTTTGAAAATCACATGTGCCTGCAAATAGAAGATGAACATAACTTTTGAAAAGATGCTAGTTGATCGACGAACTTAAAAAATTAACGAATATCTGAGAAAATAAATCTGATCCAAACATGTTCACCTGTCCACGCATCCTCAATGTCTTGAACGCCAATATGTCAATAATTTGACCAAACTGCGAAAAAATTGCATATAAAGCTTTCTTCAACTCTGTAACAAATAACATTCACTTTTAAACAACTTTTCAAGGTCTTAATTTTAATATTTTGTAGCGAAACAACGAATAGAAATTCAAATCTCTCTTGAGAACTAATAAATAACTTCGGAATTTCAGCTGATTTTCTTTGCATTCGCTTAAATCATCGAACATAGTGTTTCAATTCATCATACAGTGAATGAATTCTTCTACAAAAACTTACCATCCTTTTTTGTCTTTTCGTTGAGATTATTGATGTAGATCGTATGATTCGGCTTAATATCAGCCATCGTCAACTGAAAAGAGAAAAAGATACTGACTTATGTATTTCTTTACGCACAGAAAATGTCAAAATTCGCAAGCATGTCAAGGACGCACGATAAGTCCGAAGCAAAAGCAATTTTCTGTTGCGAGAGAACCATTTCGCAAACACTACCTCTTCCCTACGCTCAGGAAAATGTGTTCACGGACTCAAGTTGTTTTCGAAGAATTAAACCAAAGCCAATATTTATTTCGGCTATCCACAAACAATTTCCGAACCGACGTCTCAAGTGTGCACTAAATCGCTCGTGAGAGAAAAACGCTCGATTACAACCGCCCAATTGTGGGTTAAATCTCCTGCTTGTAAGACTTTTTTAAATAGTATTCTTGACGCGGCAGGTAACCGTTGTGGTAGGCCTGCAATCCTTGTGCAAAAGCTTTTTGAACAGATTCGAAGAAAATATGACAAACGGAATGTGAGCAATTCAATAGATGACTAATATACTCAAAAAATATGTGGCTAACGCAAAACACGTCATAAGTTATTTCCATGGCGAAGAAATTGTCTTTTGAAATGCACGAATAATTTTATCACATGAATAAAACATCATTTTGATTGATGAACAACTGAACAAAGGAAACCCGTTGCTAACGGTTCGAAATTATCAAAAATAATAAGAGCAAAAGTTGACGAAAGCATGTGGAATGGCTATAAATTACAATAATTATGAGAAGGTATTATGGTTGGAGGATGGATGTAATGGCGGACAGGAGGGAACAAAAAAGAATGGGACGTAATGAAGGGTAATCTTGTAACTAAATTGTCCATGAAAGGGGCCGCGCTTCATACAAACCTCAACCTAAGGCTAACCTTTGTTTTTGGCTGAAGCTCACTGCAGGGCTTAACCTTTGACTTACTCCAGAAGTGAGATATACCTCGGGATTAAATTAAAACCAGAGCTAGTAGCTTCATTCAGCATTCACGCTTGAGCTTGTAGCACTGCCTCCTTTAATAAACACGCTAATTGCAAAATTACCCAAATAAGGATACACATCGGAGGTTTTTTAGTTTCACGAGACCTTCAAGAGCGCCTTCAGTGGCTCGATTTAAACGATTCTTTGAGGGAATGTCGAATTTGATGAACAAAATGGATGAGAATATTGCAAATACGACCACACATAAATTCAAATAAACAAATTATGCGCTTGATCGGTGTATTTTTGCATCCAGCGCAAGATGAAGATCAATACACAACGAAAATGATTCCGTGAACAAAACACCACATCAAGTAAACAATAAATATCATATCAACAAACAGCATATACTACATCAAACGCATCAGTGGTTCATCGGAAAATTATTCGGCTTGATAAGAATGAGATAACAAGAAGTGTTACATGATTTAGAACACCAAAAAATGCACATCTCATTTCGTGAATGAAAACTGAATATTAAGTTGAATGACTGAAAGTGAAATTGAAATTATTATCACGATAATAATCTGCTAATAAGATCAGATAATCGCAAACAAATTCGAAAGAAAAACAAACTAAATTCATATATACATACATGCTTAATCATTTAAAAACTTTTCTAAGAAAACAACCGAAACTACATAATAAGATTCTGCAATATTATTCACATTCAAAAAAGAAAAACACAATCAACAACTCATAGACATGACTTCTTGATATTCTAGCAAGTGAACGACTCCTGTTTTTCCTCAGCCTCAGCCTGTACCCGTCACACCTATGAAAACACAGCTCCGTTTTTTCGGCTAATTCACGATACAAAAAAGCTGAATCTCATACTCCAGGATGAAGTACGCAAGGGCTGATGTAAAGAAAAACCCGACTTTGTTCACTTGTTACACTTTCTGACTTCATCGTCCAAATGAGCTTTAAACTAGGCTCAATCTTCATCAAAATCCCATTCGTTTTCGAAGACATCTCCAAATTTTTATCATACCTTAACTCTGTCATTTTTACGCTTTCTGCACACCCTGGCGGCTAACTTGTTTTTGCCTGAAATTTTACAATTGACTCAAAATGAATAAACTCTAAAATGTTTTCCAACAAAACAATTTGCAATAATTGTCGAAAGATAAATTCTCAAACCAAAAAGATAAACATAGCAAATAACCTCTTCTCCTAATTTTTCTGATCATATTTTGTTGTTGCGAAGTCAGTTGTAATGAATGAACGATGCGGTTCAGTTCAGTCAACGGCATTGATGAAATCTGCATTGCACTCAACGGTAACAAATATGCATGCGCCAGTTCCTCATCACGAGATCTCCGTCCACGTCCACGCCTTTCCCTATTATTGTTCTCATTATTGCTTCAATGAAAAACAAACAGACCAAGACCATAACCGAAACTAGCTGAACGAAACCTCACGTTATCTCAACCAGATAGATTCAACCTGCGCTTGCGATGGTCATCCGCATGACAAAACGATCAACCGAAAATCGTCAAACAGTGACAACCAATGTTAATGTTTGTTGCATATCGAAAGAATATCAGTCTATCAATGCCACTGACTAATAAAATCAACTAACGATGCATGTAATTTGAAATGATCGCACACGAAATCAGCACTTGCAGACGAAGTCGTCTGGCCAGATGCAGTTTCACGTGAAATTGACTCTTCATATTGTTGATTGTATTCCTCTTCTCTTGAACTTTTGAACGATTCGCTGGAAAGAAGAGCGTTAACGCAAATGAATCAATCAATTTACATTACGTTTTAGCAATATACTTTGATTGTGATCTAAATCAAAGAATTACTGCAAAAATAAAAAGAAAAACGCTTGCGTAAACGAACCTATATGGTTGACTAATACTGCTATTACTACTACACGACTTTGCTGAGTCCGTATCTGACTCATACTGAAACACAAAATATAGCGTAATAATAATAATAATAATGATAATAATAGCAATAATAATAAATGATGACGATAATAATAATAATCCTACGTTAATACAATAAAAGCAAAGTGAATAACTTAACAAAGCATTAAAATATAATGAAATAAATCGATCAGATGAAAACAAACTGGCAAACGAAATTGTGGGGATGTACAAATGAGGCGTCGTTCAATCCCTGCGTTTAATAACGAACTGAATGTTCCAATACGACGGTGGTGCATTTCATCATCTGAATTTGATGATAAGGACAATAATAATAGATCATTGAAGAAATAACCACAACAATGCTACAACCAATTAAGAGCAATTCAATCATCGACTGTTCGTTTCAGCGATAAAAACTAAATGAGTAAAACAAAAGAACGAAAACAATCAAAATCTTCCACCTGCAAAACGACTGTTGTCAACATCATTGGTATCGTTAAGTGTATCAGTTGTTGTTAATACTGAATCGTTATGTGTATCACAACAAAACGACTCATTCGATTCGTCATCGTCCAAAAGTTCAACTACTGACGTACTCGTGTACTGCACCTCATTACTACGATGATGATCATTTGCAACTTCATCACTTTTTTCATCATCACCAACATTATTACCTTTCCATTCATCTGAACTATTCTCATCTTCCAATAGATCATTTGAAGCACAATTCGTTGAACGATCATCTAAGCACCATTCGGGCGAAGCACTTCCATCCAACTCTGAGCTACGTACCAAATCGCTTCCTAAAATGTAACCATCTTTTGTTCAACACTAACCTTAGACAACCTCTGAATGGTTTGATAAAAGTGGTACTGGTAATAAAAACAACAACAAATACTCTCACCATTCATCCTATCACAAATCGCAGCATCCGCTAATGACACATTATTATGAAGAATTGGACATTCAAGTGTTGAATTTAGTAGAAAATTATTATTGTTACTCTGTTGTTGCTCGATGCCATATGAGTCACACTTATCGAATAATTCGGTGAATGAACACTGCTTAAAATAAATGAATTTTAATTGAATACAACTTTTGAAATAAATGAATCTTCACTCTCAGAAACTGTTTCATCTCATAAATTCTTTTCCGGTCATTAGAGCTTTTCATCCGGAATATTGCATTTTATTGAAACATCAAATATTCATTCTAAAATTCGTTCATGTCTCCAACATCAAGTCAGTGTTGATAAGCTAAAAAAAAATTGGTTCAGCTCGAATCCGATCCATTTGCATTTTGCGTCCGTAACACTTCCAAAAAGATGCTTTAATCTGCATAAAGAGGAGAGAAACTAAAAAGAACTTGATCGGCGCAGTTAGAAGGGTGAAGTGCATTATGATCATCGTTTTCTTGCAACCAGACACTTTTTGATGAATCATGCCAACGATCGAATATCTGTTGCGTATCCGTGCTTAGGAACTGCAACGATAAATAATGAACAGAAACAAAGAATAAAATGAAATAATAATATGTATAATGAAATAATCATCGACCGACCTTATGCTCGTCCATCCTTTCACCGAACAGTTTCGAATGCAGCTCCTCTTCAAACTGCTCATCACGACTGCACCCAGCCATATCAGCACTCTTCTTCCTTCTCATCTCACCCCACCACATCATTCCATAGAAATTCACATCATCCTGCCAACAAAAATAAAAATAAGTCTTAACAATACTGATAGTGATATCAAAAACAAATAAACCAAACGAAAACAACCTGCAGAGGTGTTTCGTCCGAAGATGTAATTGTGGACCAAACGTTTGTTGATGGTTGAACACTTGTTAAAAGAGGTCTTACAATTGCATAAGGACGATTGTAAATGTTATTTTTAGCAGCATAATTAATTGCTTTATTAACCACATTCCTGCTATCTTTATCACTGAAAGTAAACTGTAACTGTCTTGTGTGGCTAAAGTATGTATAGCGTTTGGTGCCTCCTTACCAGGATGGTGTTAAACCTGAAGCGAATCAAACCGAGTAAGCTGAGAATGATGCTTGTTCAAGCAGTCAGCAAGCGATGGCACCAATTCACCCATACACTTACTCATTGTGAAGGGATGGGTGGATGGATGGCAAAGTTAAAAGAAATAGCTTCGATCGAAAATGAATAAAATCTTGTTGCGTGACCTAATGATCAATCCGTGAGTGGTTCAAAGGAATGATAAGTTGAAAGAATTAAGAACCAACAACCCACTGTATTATCGCCAATTCAGTAAGTAGCGATTCATTGTGTTGCTCCTCCAGTTTCCTCTCGAACTCCACTCCAACCCAACTGATCCAATCCAAATATTTTGATGAAGCTGCATACTCATTATGTGCACTAACTGCAACAATTATTACTATTACCAGAGAAAGTCGATCAAAATTTCTCTAATTTTGATTCGTACTACATTATTCAAACCACCTGCTGAATTACTACCGATCATACTTTAACCATGATAAAGTATTCGTATTAAAGCTAAAACTTTTCATTTGCAAATGCATGAGATGGAATAAATTTCTAGAGAATTTGCTCGAATATGGTTTAAATAAACGTTGTTTGCCTTGTTGATAAACCGGCTTGAAGCTCGATGAGGACCGCAGCGGAACGAAGGGTGCTTGGAATAAACGTATGAGAAGCGCGATGATCAACAGACTAGTGGTTGTGGGAGTTGTCAACGAACAATGACAACTGCTCGACGTAATATTGAATAGGAACGCGGTCCTTCCCGATTGCCGCATAAAATTGCTCCGTTTAGAGCGACCCCGTTCTTCAATAGCTAAATGATTCCTTCCAGCCGTGTGTTCCATCTTTAAACAAAACGAACATTCATAAAATTAATACAGTCGAATCGAAGTAATCACTGAATGACGATTGATTTTCCTTTCAAAGTTCTTCACAAAAACTACTACTCAAAAAACTCTCCTCCTTGCTCACACCACCTTCTTAAACACAATTCTCCACTCTACTGCCTCATCTCTTAAACTACTCCACTTGAATCGTCGCTAAACTACATCGGCAAATATTTCGAAATATGTTCATTCCAGAATACATCAACGAAAAATCGGAATGGCTTCAACTTTGCGCATATTCGCGATCGAATCAATATCCCTGAGTCATCGTTCATTGAAAAACTGCTTTGAAGAGAAAAATTTTTGCTTCCATCCTTATTGCGTCATCACCCCACTGAACACTATTCCACTCTTCCAGTGTAGTTATACGCTTCCCTTATCGCAAGCAAATATATGGGCGCAATACATACACTATTGCTTTTCGAATAGACTCATTCTTGGACGGACAAAATTGCGAACTTTTCAAACCTTCACTGATCTCACACGACTCCTGAACTGGTGCACGAGCATTTGAAATAAACCCGAAAATTATGATTCGACAAACGTTTATCACTTCGGGAAATATTTTACAAGTCACCACACTTCATGAATGAATAAATCGAACTGAATAATGAAAATAAAGAAGCATATACAAATGATACAACTATCAGTTAAATTACGGTAATAAATGTACAATAAATATAAATTATTAGAAGTGTGCTTGTGAAGGCAATCAATTTAAACGAGTTGCTTCTTGATTGACCATGAAATGGCCCACTTCAAATTGATTAACATGCATTTCATTGCTTTAGTCCACCGTTCCTCCGAATTGAATTGCATCTTCACCGAATATTTTATTTTGTTTGCTTCAATCGAGTCCATGTTCATCAAATGCGGTAGACGAAATTCACTCTTACTCTATAATCACATACCATTACACTTCGAAAATAAACTTCAATGATTTAACCAGTAAAATATGAACCTCAATGTAATCTTGCCACTGACGAAAACAACGCACGAAAGCGCACATAGCTTCATCAAGGTTCTTGTTACCGAATGGTGTAAAACCACCACTGCCGTACAGCGGTAAGTCTAGGCCAGTTGCTAAAACACGTATGAAAGAATGATTGCCCATTGGAAATATCTCATAATCACGTAGTGTGAAATCCTTTTCACTCTTTATGAGCACCTGAAAGCAGTATTCCATTCAGAATCAATTCATACAAAACCAATTCAACTTAAAAGGAACTTACCCACAGCAAGAACCTTTCTCTTTATGCATGAACTCACCGTCATAAGCAATGCCGTTTGTCCCCAAGCTGCATTTATTTCGTTCCATTCCACTCGTTGACCAGGTAAAATTCCCAATCGGAAACCATTAATGGTTCCAAAACTACGTTGTGTCCATATATGAAATGCAGCATTCAGTACATTTATACCCGACAATTTACCTAATTGCGTCTTCACATAAAGCAACTGCGCTTTGGCGTCTTGCTCTTGACTTTCCAAATCCAACAAACGCCTTAAAGTACATATTTTGAGCAGTGAAATTGAAATGAGCATTCTTTTTCACCTCTTTTGAATCATTTTTGCACTGAACTGAATGAATTTTGAACAGTTCAAGTAAAAGACAATATGAACTGACCTATGATTATCACGAAGTTTCTTCCATAGTTTTTCTTCATTTTCTTTTTCAGCATTTACCAGTTCGTTACGTTTCTTCACCAATTTTTCATTTAGACAATTCTCTTCCACTTCCAATTTTTTCAGTTCAGCCAACAACGACGCTTCTTCAGCCTGATTATTTAGATGAATGATAACATCAACAGACGCTTTTCATTGAAGATTTGTTCAAACAAAAAATCACAATGACGGTGGCTTGGCTGACAGAGCGAAATGATGCTGAGCATCTTCGAATGAAAGAGATGACTCGAACGCAACAAGCAGTTGTTACCTTCATCTCGACGAGTTTCACGTTCGAAGCGTTTGCATCGAAAACACGGTCCATGCGATCTTTAGTTAATTTCTCCAATAACCTCCTGTAACTGCCACATTCCTCTTCCAGTCCTTTCAATTGCTGATCCATACCCGAAAGTAACTGTTCAGTGCAATCCTTTAAATTTCTTTAACTCTTCACTAACAAATTTCTCTCTTTCAATCAAAAGACTAAAATTATTAACCTCACAAATTGGCCCCCATAAAGCCGACGTTGAATTGCAAATAATATCGAAAAGGTTCCCAGACTGACCCGGTAGAGTTCCTTCACCTTCACATACTACACGACCAGTCTAAAATGTTTGTTTTCGTTCAGTTGTAACTGTGCTGTCATTTTTTAAATGAAATATTGCAAATCTAAACTATGTCTCGTCAAATCTTGATTGTCAGATTTTGTTGGTTTCAATTTAGTGAAGAAGCAATTTACCTGTAAGTGAAGAGGTGTATTAGTTGCACGGCCATTGTCACCATCCTCATCATCCAACTCATACAAGCTTGAATCGATTGTCAGCTCGGCTTGACAATTTAAACACGACGCTACTACATCGTTCATCCCTTTAACGATTCCAACATCACTCTTTTCTATTCGAAATTTACTAATTGTAAGATAACGCCTCGTTTTTTCGAAATTCTATGATGAACATCTCATACAGCACCGCAACAAAACAATTACCACAAATTTTCGGGAGGCAAATGCTTCGGTGAGGTGTAGATGGAACCTGAATGTATAAACGTTTAACATGCCTAGATACAGTTCAAAAATCGGAATCCCTGCGAAAGCCCATCGAAATTGCAGCTGATCATTGGGTTTCTGCACAACTTTTTGTTGATGCAACGCATCGTGCATTTGCAAAATCACTCATGCAGAAAAAGGTTTTCCTATGATGTAGAAAATATTTCGTGTTGTGGCTCGTTGCAGTGGTGCATGTGCGGAGCAGCTGTGCAGTAAATGATTTCGATATGCAGCATGAATATTATCAGCTAGATCTCTACAAGCACACTACCACTGAGATACAATGGAAAGTATTAAGCAACCGAACTTGTGAATTGCACTGCAAAAAGACATTCACTGACCGGTATTAAACGGTAACGATTAATCGAAACATATAATCGAACCTGACTGAAATTATTACAGATATATCTTTCAGATGGAACGGTAATGTGATCCATCATCACTGAACGACTGATCACAACTCATCAACGTGATGTTTTCCGTGCAGTAATTTGTCTAATATCAGAGCATTTAACATATTTGGAGAATGTTATATTAATTTTAATAAGGGAATTAATTCAATGCGACGTATTTTTGATAAAATTAGTATCCAGATAAAACCATCAGCAGGAAATTGTTATTATTATTATGAATATTGGAAGCGTTTTGGCAGTGTAAAAATGCATTGAATATGATGATTTGGCGCATACAACAAAAAGAATAATTATGATAGCAAAAGTATTAAATAACAATACTGTAATAGTAAAATTAATGAAAATAATTCGGTATAAATATCAGTGAGAAGAGTAACTCGTTAACTGATTCTCTCTCCACTTTCTTTCTTCTTCAGTGAAAGAAACGACGATAAAGATAACAACAGTTACGATTCTAATAGTGATAATTATAAGTATCAAACGAATGATTCAGAGGAATGCTCGTAATAACGCAATAAACATCAAATTTAAAGTTTCAAAAGAACGAAAAGAGTCACAATAAAAACCCGTAATGGAACGAACAACTCAAGTGTCAAGAAGATTTAAAAATCCCAATTTGAGAACAATATAAAAATGAAATGAATGGTGAAGTGATTTGGTAGTTGAATTACATATGTAAAACATAACATTGACGATCAGAAAATAATCGAATGATAGCGACAAAAATAATAATAGTAACGATGAAGAAACGCTGGACTGTTCCTGAATAACTGAAATGAACGACTTTAAAATTTGAGAACACTCAACAAACAACCAACTTTAAGATATGTAATGCAATAAGGTGTATTCATTTTTTAGTACATTATAACTTAACTATTGCTGTTACTTTCAAGAAATATCGCATAACGATTCATTTAGTTTTGATCTTAAGAAACAGAAAAAAAATGAATCGCAAATGACGGATACTTTCAACTTTACGAATTTATATCTCGTCTTTTTATATAAAAACCGACGAGAGCAGCATTGATAAGTTAAGTGCGAGCGAACAATAATACCATCAATAACTAAAGTAATGACACTGAAAAAAGCTCAAGAGAGGATATCTGGAATTGACGAACACGTGGATAAACATACAAAAACATCACGTGAACAATCACAAACAAGTGATATTATCAATACTATGAACAGAACGATCATGTCTACTCAATGCGACACATATATTCGTGTATAGATTAAGCAAGCTTTGTCGAGATCGTTTCACATTTCCTGTACGAAATTCAAGCCCAAATTCCTTCGGCATCATCTTCCTAAAAATCATTCATATTAACAATGATAATAAAATAAAAAATAATGATACTGACCTGATCAACGTTTGAAGTTGGATTCGGTAAAGATGATGAAGCAATGGCAATTGGTGCTGATCCGGGCACGCCAGCCCCAACAAATGCGCCATTTACTCCAGCGGCTAGTGTTGTTGACGATCCAACACCAGACGGCTGCTGTTGAATCGGAGCTCCAGCTGTTAAAGGTATCAACATAACGATGCAATATGCCAACAAGAAGGACTGTTAACTTTTGGCGATATGAAGTGAACCAATGCATGCATGATTAGAGATGCGTTCAAGTCGAAACAACACTTACGTGCAACATTCATTGAAGTGGAGTTGACGAGTTGAATTCGGCGTTCGTTCTCCTCCTTCAATTTCTCGATCAACTTTTCTTTATGCGTTCGAAGTGTTTCAATCTCATCTCGCGGTCGCTCATGTGACTGCTCTAACAGCGCTATATGAGCATCTTTCTCCGCGATTGCAGCCACCAATGCTTCGTGTCTGAATTGCGTACGGTTAGCGCATGATAACAGAGAGAGAAGCGAGCAACGAACTTGAGCTGAAGTAGCTGTTCGATGTGTTTTCGTCGTTCCACTTCGAACGATCGAACCATCTCTTCGCGATCACCGTTCGACAACTCTTTGATCATTTTACGTAGTTCAGCGATCTCACGACGGCTTTCAGATAACTGGAACATCCTCATTCAATATCGATTGAACAGATGAATCATTAGATAAAACGAAAAATTACTTGTAAAGCTAGCTGTTGATTGAGCTGTTTTTGTTGGGCCACATGCAACTCGCGTTCGGCCGTTATGCTTACCGATTCGCGTAATGCCTCCTCTAGTTCTTCCACTCTATAAATAGCAAAAAACGCTACTGAAACTAAAAAATTAATCAACAACTAAACGCTCATGGACCAGCACTGCTACGTTCACGGTATTCATTCTGATTTGCAATGTTCCCATATAGAACCCAATTACTTCACAAAATACCATTAAAAATAGCAATAAATTTTGTTCGAGTCAGGTTTCTCAACCTGAAACTGACACAATGGACAAATCTACTTAACAGTCGGATGTTCAACACCTCAGTAACGAACCTGTTCTTGAGAGTACCATTCGTCGACAACGTTAAGGTATCTGTTCGATGCGCTGATGATGTTGAAGCTCCGGTTGCAGGCATTGTGGTACCCTCTTTATTCACCTCTTCCAAAGCACTTCAAAACAACATTCATTCAAATCTCTGTCATCAAAAACCAATCTTTTTTTTGTAGAATCACCTCATCCGAACGTTTTTAGACCTCTCTTGCATTGGTGAGATATGAAACTATCGTTATGGATTCGTAGAAATCCTCTTTTACTGTTTAGTGAATTCGCGAGGTTTTGATGAACAACTTTGAAGCTGAAAGCGGAAAACGAATAATCAGACAAACAGACCTTTGTAATTGCTTGCACTGCGATAGCAGCGAAGACTTATCCTTTTCAAGCGTTTGAACCATCCGTAACAGTGAATCTATCTCTTTTCTTGCTTCAGCCAACTGTATATGAACAAAAAACAATCGAAAATACACATTTAAAATAGCGTTATATTATAGGTGGATAAGGATTGATAAATAATGACGATATGAATAAAATGTAACAATGAATGGGATGTCAGTGGATCAACCTGTTCATCGTTTGTGAGCTGTGGAGTTTGTTCTTTACGCTGTCGTTCTACTGAGCATAATTCTCGATCTAAGTCGCCGATTTTTTCGTTTTGAGATTCCAGTAAAACTTGTCTGAAAGATAAAATCTTTGCTCAATTGCTTAACTCAACCAAGCAATAAGAAAACACAGCTCATTTCCAAGTTAACGGAATACACAAAACATATTAATCACTGCACACGTCGTTTATCATCAATAACCGATAAAGCTTGGAAGCATTCGAATTCACTTACCGATCTGAAAGCTCCTTTTGAAGACTTTCAATGGTGGCCGTAAGTTGTCGATTCTGCTCTTGAAACGTTTCCAGTTGCTGTGCTTTCTCTTTTTCGGCATTCCGTCGTAGATCATCGATGACACATTGCAGATGTTTCTTTTCACGGTTCGCTTCGTCGATTTGCAATTGCATTTGCCGTTCCATCTGTACGTCGGGTTGTGCCAATAGCTTATGCTTCATCTTATCCAGTTCTTGTTCACGCTCTCGACCGACCCTCTCCAGAGCATCCAAACGTGCAACCAGTTGACTCATTCGTTGTTCGCAACCCTTTACAAATTTCTTATTCATCGCTTTTTTTCTTGCTTTCCTCACTCACAAACACTTACCTTTCAAAACCAAAACCTTTTTCTACTTCAAAATAATTTTTAAAAAGTGAACAATTTTATTTTACAACGAGAGTTAGTGACAGAAATAATCTTGTAAGGTTTTTATTGGATCGAAAAAAGCAGACCTTGTTCGTTTCACGCATATCAGCTAGTTGCCCTTTTGTTAGTTTCAACTCTGATTCGATACGTTCACATAATTTCTCTTTTTGATCAATTTGTGCATTCTTATTTTCCAATTTTGCTCGTAACGCTTCAATCTGTAATATGATTTATTCTCCAGCAACTACAACGGATAATTAGTCACAGAAAAATAGGCATAATTTATACAGGTAATGAATTCAGTTAAAACACAACTAAATTCTACAATTAACTAACATCTTTGGTGTAGAATTGCTTATTGGTTCAAAGATTTCAAATGCGTAACGATAATTGTAATAATAACAAGTGCAAGCAAAAAATGAAGAACACACATCAGACTGTAATAAAGTTGCATGTTGTTCTTTCGACGAACTCGAATCTCGTAAAACTTCCAAATGCTTTCTGAGATCGGCATTCTCTTCAGAGGCTGCTTGTAGTCGCGTCTGTGTGGTCGCCAAATCAGAACTCCTGCAGAATTCCCAATCAAATTTTAAATTTTAAGACATTCTCTAACTGTTAATTGATCCATTCAATGTACTACTACTGAAAATTGAATATAAACTACTGTTCACTACTACTAACGCGATTTTCATTACAACTTATATCTTATAAAAACGAGCGTTTTTATACGAGATTCAGTTCGAAAAAGCGACAACTTTTTTGCGAGTTCCATTTCGCTGCGTTCCATTTTCATGCGTAGTGTATGTAACTCATGTGACGTGACCGACTTATCAGTGAAGTCCCTGGGTGGGTCTAAACCACCACATCGAGTGCGTAACGTTGCCAGCTCTTCTTCGAGGTCTGCTATCCGCCGATCCTTCAACAAAATCAGTCGTTACAACAAATGCTCAATTTTAACATCGAACATTTCCATACCCTTCTTTTTTTCATTTTTCAACCCAAACCAGCAAGTGGCACCAACAAAAATGCTCTTTACGAGATGATAAAAGAGAGCACAGCAATACAACCTTCGCATTTTCACGCTGTGCATTAGAAAATGCTGCACTGATACCGCCAGACTGCTGTTGTTGTTGCTGCTGTAAACTGTTAAGTTGCTGCTCCAACGATCTGAGCTGTTGATCTCGAATCGAAATCAACGATTCCAGCTGATTACAAGTGGTTTCCAACTCAGCCAGTCTGGTCGCGGATGCACCCGTTAGAGTGCCAGCAGCATCATTTAGACTTGCGCCGAAACGAGCGGATCCTGCATTTGTGGCTGTATTTGATTGTCGTTCAATCAAGCGGCGAATCGTCTCATCTTTTTTCATCAACTCAATATGACTGTTCTCCAGCTCACCTTCCAACTCAGCCAAACGATACTCATTTATTGCAGGCGCTACTAAACCACCCGCAACAACGCCTGTTGTTTGTTGTGCCGTGTTCGATGCGCTGGTGAGTTGGCGCTGTAGAAGGGCCACTTTTGCGGTCTCTTCTTTACGCAATTGTCGTTCACGTTTCAGTTCAGGACTCCAGAAAGTTTTGATAGAACTCATGGTTGAGTTCAACTTTTGCAGTGCATTTTCATAATCACGTTTCAGCAAGTCGTATTCACGTAACGCTGCTGTATCGTTAGCACTGCTTGTCGCGGCTGGATATGCAAGCACTCGCTCATTGCGTGACATATTCATCATTGCTTGTTGATGTTTCCAGAACTGTGCGTTGCTCGATGTGGGATTCGAGAGAGGAGGCGCAGGTACATTCGTTTGCATCACATGAGTGCCACTTGCACTCGGAATCTGTAGTGGCGGCAACGTTCCTGCTCCTGCTGCTGCTGCTGTTGATGGCCAATCTGATGTCTCATAGCTGCTACCCAACAGCTCCATACCGTCGAACGAACGATGCTGCCTATAAACAATGAGCACTTATCGAAGTTTCTTTGAAACGTTATTATTATCACCGATATATTATTATCATCAAAATGCTACAAACAAATGCATAAATAAAAGAAGTAAAAAGAAAACGATGATGAATCCAATAAGCATAAGCGTACAAGAAGCAGACATTTGCATGCTTCAGGTTTCAAATCAATTAGGAAAGAATGCAACCTTTGTAAAGGGGGAAATGCTCTTCTTGAGGATTGTTGGTAATGACGTTGCACGGTTGGTGCATTAGTCGTAGATGATGGGTTTATTAAATCCATTGTATCACAATAACAATTATCGAGTATCGACACAGGACCGACACTTCGACTTCGATTTGCAACGTTAGCAAGTCGTGAACTAGACAACAATGGTTTAGTTGAATGGTAATTGGACGTTGATGAGGACGACGTGGACGATAACGAATAGAAATCTGATGCTGTTAGAGCGTCAGGTAGGACGGTGCAGCTACCGGCTGTCAACTCGTAACAATCGTCATAAACACTTCTGTTGTTTATGGCGGTTTCATTCCTCAGCGCTAATCCACTACCGATACCTGCTGTACTAGCGGATAAGCAGCCTAAACCAAAGCCTTCCCTCCGTTCACCACCTCTACCATTCAGCGCTAAGTTTGAATTTCCTCCTCCTGCTGCTGCTATTCTTCCCGCTCCACTGATGTTTGAACTAAAGCAGCAGGCTGCTGGTGTTTTCAAAGTAGTACCGCCACCTGCACCATATAAACTACCACCAATCGGCGCAGTGCTTCCAAGTACATCTCCATAAAAGGCACTTCCTTTGAATCTGAAACAGTGAAAACTATTCAACCAGTCCATCACGCCGATAACAACTGCCATATACCTATCTATTTGTGTGCACGAACATGCGAGCAAAAAATGGTACTGATGAAAAAAAAGGATAAGTAAATGAAATAAAGAGTATACGAAATTCAAATGAAAATCTAACAACATACTGATCATAGTGTAAGTTTATGGCTGAGAGTTTTTATTTTCGCCGGGGTAGATGAGATAAAAAAGGGACATTCAAGTCAAGATAGAATAAAATGATATTTCTTGCAGCCAATCGAAGAATCAATTAAAAACAACCATCATATCAACAACAAAAACGCAACAAGCTTAAATGAACCATCAGTGCGGTTGTGATATTATAATCATCAAATAATCAACAATTTATGACAGTCGACAAAATGATGATATCGAGAAAATGCAAATAATGCGAAAATTTTGGTTCTACCCAACCACAGTTTCGAGTATCCACCTTGCATGCCATCACTCATCAAATTATCGTCAAACTCTGTAGGGGCTTGGTGTTTCAGCATATGTTCATTTCAAGAGATTCTTTAATCAATAAGAGTTCTCACTACCACCCCCTCCCTTACTCCACAGAATCAGATGGCGACACTGGTCTGACTGTCAATATTGGTTTAGAGTAGACGCCCTGAACTGCGAAAGATCTATATAAAACAAGACATGAAATTACGGAAGGGTGAACGGATGACGAATGACCAATTAACTGAACGAATGAATAAATGCTTTCTGGAGTGCTGCTTTCCACCGTCCAACTTTGAATCGTTCTCAGTCACTTCCATTTACGCTCACAAACATTCATCTATTCACTCATCTGTCCAGTCATCTAGCCACCTAGTTACGCTACTACTCTCACCACCACAGCACTAACTGATAATAACTTCAGGCCATAAAATCACGCATCTCCAAAACAAGCATAAGCTAAGCACACACATTCTGATATAAACAACAACAACACAACATGCGCAAAACATATTCAGCATTACACCGCCATATTAATTCACATATGCATATGCATACATATCATCAAGCCAAACGCGATACACCCAACTACGGCTATTTCTCGCTAATATACATTCGTTATTAGCATTCAGTTGAGACTGCAGCATATAGATAGATAAATCGATAAATTGATTATATACTAACAAGACAAGAATGTAAGCAACAAGCATTTTTTATTCATTCATTTTGTTTTGCATTCCACTTAAGTTTTCAATGAACGCACCATTAGAAACATGCATAAACAAACATGAATACTAAGAAACATTAACGGACAAACGTACGGTTTGCTAACTAGACGGATGCGTGGACGAAACGGCTCAAACGCAGATTCATATGCGGCTCAAGCGCTCTTTGCGGCATATAACTTAAAACTCATCTAATCGTTTTTGCATTTCACTGAGATACGTTTTGTTTGATACATGTCAATTTAAAAAAAAAACATCTCAAAAGTAAAACCGTGACTAACCTCTTCTTATGCCTTGACAGTGATCTGATAAATCTAAAAGACAGATCAGGATGGGCCAAGAGTCTACGTATTTCAGTTCACTTCTAGACCTAAATCAACACAACAACTAACGCTATTCTATGAAGAGCATTCGACGCTATTTCTTCATCTACTACTAGTGCTATATGAAACGATATTGCAGAATAATCTAGCTGTTAGTTTGCTATGTTCATATCGTTGTGCTGGCCTATAACCATCTTTCTCTACAATTGAAATAATCAGTCTTCTTCTAGTTATAGTATTCATTCCAACACATACATAAATAACAATTACATATGTTTAATGCATAAATAATATGAAACAACATAACAAGAATTAAGAAATCGACGAAGAGTGAAGCAAAGCAAAAAACAAACAAAATAAAACAAAATAGGATACTTTCAACGTACATACTAAGAGAATACTAATCCGTTTAACGATAAACGAATACTAATCCGTTCATCTTATGTTATCATTTAATCATGCACTTATCCAGTAAAAAACTGCTAACGCCAGTAATAATAATGAGAATGATAACAACAACAATAATAATAGTAATTAATGATGATGATAATAACAATAATAATAACAGTAATAATGAACGACACAAAAGCAAAACACATCGGATATAAGCAAAGGTACGAACCGATCGGAATGCAATAACGTGGAACGAGCACTTCGTGATGCTGCGGCGGGTGGATCGGACAACGACGCATAACAAGCGTCCATTTGATGCGGTTGAGGTTATAGCTAAATGAAATAATTGCCGGTCCAATCTTTTCTTGACTGATCTTTCAACGCTCTGTGCAATGCTCCCGTAACAAACATAACGCAAAGATTAGCTCTTTCTCAATTCCATTTACAAAAATTCATCATCTTTCAAGAATTCAAGCATCTCTCAACGAAACGTTAACAACATCATCAAGAATTCACGACCGATGCATCAATTCGTGAACAAATCTGCCTCTATTCAGTAGTCACTTTCTTATGCTGCGCATATATAAGATGATATCGTAATCAACTAAATTCTTCCATTACAGAAAAATTCATGAAAATCCCTATTTCCTCAAAGTCCACATTCAACACGGATCATGTAGGCTTGAACAGAAAAAAAACAATATAATAACTGTACTGTCACTCTACTTTCCTACGCCAGAAAAAAACCCGGAACCAGCCTAGAGTTAGTTAACTGAGGCTCAGGTTTGAATTTACATTCTACATCAAATTTTTCATGAGAGTGCAGACGTTAGTTCAGGAATGGGAGTGTAATAACGGTATAAATGCCAACAAATTTCTGGAATTAAGAAGCTGAAAACGAATCAGAACGTGGAAATTAATAAGAACCTACCCTTTTTGGGCACTATCGTTTCTGCAATCCAATCACGACATCCATCATATCCACGAAAGACGTAATTGAATGAGTCGGCAAATTTTAGACCAAAGAAAATTAAAAAATTACTTACGATGCACTGCACAAGTGACCGTCGTTATACGCCGAGAACTCAAAAAAGAATAAATTCAAAACAAAATCGTCTCGAAAATCTGAAAGATCGTCAACGAAATTCTTACTTCCTCGATTATTTAGAAATACGCTGGGCGGTAAATAAAATGCATAACATCTAAATGATAATTTTTTGTGGAATTGACGATATTCACAATAACAATAACGTCACATAAGAACTAGGACACTACTAATAACACTAATAAAAGGCAGATAACATCAATGATCGTATGACAACAACAGTAATACTAATAAAAGCAATAATACAAAAGATGTTATCATTTATTGAAGACAGCATACATACCTACTCAAATATAAACAATATTCCACTGTGATTTTGGACGAAAACCGATGAAAATTGCACCTGATTCTTGAAAAAAGAAGTAAATAAAGCTCAACTCAACAAAGGTCGTTAAATAAAGCTCATCGTTTGTTCGCAGTAAGGATCATCGACGTGTTCGCACCGAATTCAGTGCATTTATGTACAAGGCATCTAAACATGCAAGAATTACGTTCCAAGAAAATACCAGTTGTTTGTTCTTTGCAAAAATTTATTCCTTGGCGCAATTCAGTATTAAGCTGTGACTGGGACGCTATTGAAAAAAGAAGCCCTGCTAATCGTTAATTCGTAAAAAAATGACCTTGTTCCACTAAAAATAGTCCGCAACCAATTCCGCTGACGAAAAAATTGCGAAAACTTTTCACTAAGTGTGTCACCACCCAGAAAAAGTAGCGAAAATTCTCGTTAAAACGCTACTCCGCTAATCGCTATTTTGAAATCTCCCCTCAAAAATTGTAACTGCACCACTCATTTGTTTGGAAAAAAAAATCCCATCAAATCATTAAACAGTTGAAAGTGGTGATTCAATCATTCAACAACAGATAATCAGTCAACAACGAAAACAAACCTCAGTAATCGAAAATATTCTTCATCTTTCGCAAATCCAGTCGCCGCAAAACAAATGGATCTTTATGTCATCTTATACGTAAATTCACAATCGTTGGTTTACACCAAAACTTTATTTGGGTGCATAAAAACATTAAAGAGAAAAAAAGCTCAAATAAATCATGAGAATAAAAAACAACAGCGAGTAAATATAAACAAACAAATACGATTCAATCCCATTTATGATAATAAAACGATAACGATAAAACTATGAGAATAATAATAACCTCAGCAATAATAACAATCAAAATGACGAAACTAATTATGAAAATAATAATGAAAACAATATAACAACATCGAAACAGATTGCAAATTAATCTCCAGACAAAGGCAACGCTACGATTATTGAATAATACTTTCACTGCTACGTGATCAACCAAAAATATCTTCTTCTCAAAAAATTCATAAAATAAAGATTCGAAATGAATGTCAGCCTAATAAAATGACGCGACTTGAAAAAAGATTTTTTTCGACTAATTGTAAGCATAAATATCTCTTCTACTATCATAACAATAAAACAAGCTTCGCTGAATAAATTTCCTGCAAACACTCAACAAATTAACTTCCATTCGCACTTAGAATACAGATGTAAAGTAACAAAAAGTAAAAGAAATGAGCTTGCATACGTGCGACGGATGAACCATGTAATAAATATATACGTTTGGCTAATTCCATTCCTGCACCTAGACAATATGATTCTATCAGAAAAGTGCTGCATTTCATTAAACTCACCGAGCATTATCTTTTCCCTCAGCCGCTTCAAAAAAAAAAAACCAAAAAAAAAACAACCAACAAACAAACTTAAGAAATAGTATCAAAACAGAACTTAGGTAGCTGTCGAAAATTATGCTTATTCTAAAGAGATTCATACTGAACTCAGTGAAATTGACCAATTATTAGACTAATGGAATTGAAAGGATTATTGTTGTTGTCTTAAAACCTATCCGTCCTTGTCTTACCCGAATAACAGCTTCAACAAATTTAAAACAGCTATCAGAGCGTGAAGATAATGATGATAACTAGAAGAATGACCACTGGCTGGGTAAACAGAAGAATGAATGTGTCACTGCTCTGTCCTGACGGCCGCATAATCATTCATATGCACATACATGCTAATAAAACATTTCATGATTAAAGTAATGAATTAATTAATTAATAAACAAATAAACAGATAAACTGTAATTAAATAAGAAAATCAAAAACAAACAAACAGAAAATGAATTATTAAAATATGACCGATCAAGAAATTCACTTCAAAATTAAAAGCAAATTAAAAAAACAATTTCCAAACGAATCAATAATAATAACACTACTCATCCACAAGCACATCATCATTATTATTATAATTACTACAAAAGAGCTAATTCCTACCCAATAATGGATCTTCTTTCGACCTTTCCTCATTTTTAGATCACTTCGATAACTTTAAAAATTTTGAACCTGTGATGGACATGTAATTAAAATCTTCTATAAAACAGATCATTTAACAATGAAAATATTTCTATTACCTTCAGTTGTATCAATCAGACTCCATCTTCAGTTATATTAATGGAATAAAGTGGTATTTATAAACTGCTACGCGAACAATTTCCGTCATTGGACCTGATGTATGAGTGAAAAATTTTGGAAAAACTCATCACGGATCGGAATGAAAAATACTCCTATATGATAGTAACTCCCCTTCTCCATATTGCCTTGAAAAGATGACCATACTATCCATTATTTTAAAAATGAAGGGAAAGTAATAATACAAAGATGAATAGCAATTATGATAACAATAATAAAAATAAACTAACAACAGTAAAAATGCAGAGATAAATAATAAGAATACAAATAAACAGAAGAACAATTCATAATGCATAATACATCATCGTATACAAATGAAATATGAGAACAAAAACAATTACACATCAAATTTCAATTAAACTGAACGATAATAAATAAATGAAGTAGTGAAAACATCGCTTCAAACTAAATGAGAAAAACACAACTCATAAAATCTCTCAAAATAAAAATTATAAACACACGATGAATATCACTTAAGTGCGAATATTTTTTTCACTTTTCAACGTTTTTTTCACTTTTCAACGTGAAAAACATCACATCTTTCACTTCAATTACAGCATGGTAATGAAAAACGATACACAAAAATTCATAAAAATCTCCGCTAGTCACAATAATAATAATAATAATAATAATAATAATAACAATGATATACTATATGCAACTACTGATTAATTCAATTATCGATTAGTACACCTGTTTTTTTCGCAATCGACTGTAACTCAATTCATGTTTTCTCAAATAACTGTCAGCACCTTTGAGACAGCTTGTCAGATAGATGATGAACGATGAAAATTTCAACGTTTTGCGTATTCCATTTGAACTGTGAAACTATTTTCAGTGTTGTTCCACTCGATTGCGACGCTTATTCAAGAGACGATTATTTGAATCTTTTAAACTTTTGATATGCACATCTTCAGTACCAACTCGCATCGTTGCGAGCGTTTTCTCCATTTCATCCTCAAATTTTAATTTGTTGATTAATTTTCCATTGTTTCAAATTTTATTGAAAATATTTGTTACTTACAGTGAAATTATGAGGGAGGGAGGAAGGAGTGGTAAGGGAGTGAATAAGGGAGAAACAGGAATTACTTTAGTAACTATATTTATATTTTAGATACCCATATGTCCACGAATTACGGTCACCATTATTGTTTTGAGTATTTACATTCAAAACCAAACAAGAAAACAACCTTAGAAACGCTACCAATTCCAAAACTGATTCATCTACACACTAAATTCTTCTATATACAAACATATGCGCCTTATCACAAATGTTTTGTGCAGTGGTAAATAAATTTAACGAGTTGACCAACAAAGAAGTCGGCTAACCCACCAAGTGAACCGTAAGAGGAGGCAATAGAAAAACCCAAAATTCATATCCAAAAATAAGATTGAAAAACATCATTAATTAGCGAAAATATGCAAAAATGAACACAGCAACAAAATTTACATCAAAAATATCACAGGCTGCCGCAAATTATCGGAAGCATAAAAATTTCAAGTCAATCACAGTCAGCCTCAGTTTTGGTTGAGATTGAGACAATTTCAAGCGAATCAACTGAATGATAAAAATAGAGAACTAAATAAATGAACAGTGGACTACAAGGATTTCTCAACACTAATTTCTTTCCACAAGAATGTGTATAAGTTCCTCGAACTGAATGAATCTCTCAAAAAATTCATCCAGCATCATCATCAAGTTCACTCGTGCCAGAAACAGATTATATGGTGAATGTTGTATTAACATATATCTAGGGCTTCAACGATGGCTAGCTTATATTCAATAAAACGTGCAACATATACAAGCGACGAAAAGATAAGTAGTGTTAGTTTAGAAGTCAGGAATCAACTGAAGCGACGAAGCAATAAGCAAAAACACAAACAAACATTCATCAAAGAAATGGATATTGAACTAAAAAGAAGCACTGTATCATTTTAATTGAAAAAAAACAAAACAAAAAACCATGTTAGGAACCATGAAAGCATTGCGCCAAAGCGATAATAACCGGTGTACCAAACAAGAAAAATACTCGGTTCAAACTTAATTATCACTGCTTCTTCAGCAGAGAGCTAGATGGGACGTATTTTCTTCAAGTTAAAACAATTTCTTTAACAAAGAAGTGCGCACAACTAAACAAACACGAATCATCCAAAACGCATTATAGTTCAAAAAAGTTATGAAAAGAAGAATCGAAATCTTGAAAAAAAGGTTAGAAACACCCGAAGGCATTTGCTACTGTTAGGCAGTAATGAATTAAGAATGGCAAAAAAACGGCACGAAAGAATTATCTGAGCACGTACTGGAAGGATGTAAAGTATATGTAAGTACACCTAGCCAGGACATTTTGATAACAGAGAAGGAACGACGTGAGAGATGAACCGATGAACCGATGAAGTGGTGTTGATAACCCATCAATTTGGTGTTGTACGAAAAAAATAAAGTGGTTCAGGGAAGAAAGGGCTGCATAGTCCCCCTACTGCCTATACATACGGCAAAAACAATTAATGACAAAAAACGGACGAATTGAAGCGAAGTGAAGCGAGAACTGATGTGATAAGAATGACAGAAAAAACAAATGTTTGGTTTAAAAAAATAAAAGAGAAACAATTCAAAACCGAGAAAGGAACGATGGTCATTAATATGGCCGTGCACGGATGATAATCAACCACGCCAACCAATGAACGGGCCACGGATATATCTATCTAACCATTTACCCTTCTCACTCCCAACATACCCTCCCTCTTCGCTGTCGATTCACCCAACCTACATAGTTTATGCTTCGCTGGCTCCGGCTTCGCTTAGAATTTGCAAAAAAATTTCCGCGACAGAACTGGCTCGGACCACTATTAGCTAGAATCTACATTGTATTTTTATAAATTCTGAACTGGGACTAAATTCATTTGAGATCGAATTGAATGAAAAAATGCAAATTTTCATCCTGATTTCTCTCTCCGTTGAAATGTACTAAAAATTTTCATCCCGCTGAATTTGCATTAATAGCACTAATATATTGTCACAATAGTAGTAGCAGTAAAAGTAAGGAATGAGCAGAAGTGCTCACTGTTCCAGAATCATCAACAGCATGATTAGTAGTGTTGTGAATTTGATGCGTTTGCGCATTTGAATTCGATTTAGAATCAGCGCATTCTGTGCTTTCTTCTGGAACCTTTTTCAGACGGTTATGGTGATGTTGTTTCTGTAAATTATTATTCATTCATTTGCTATTCGTTTCCTTGATCATCAGAATAATATCCCTTCTTTTTTTTCGTTTTTACTTCAGTTTTGTAAACAAAACAACCAACCATCTTTTCGTCAAGAACACTCAAAAATAACATACCTATCAAATAGTACATACATCCTTTCAACATTCATATCCTTCAAATATTTCTCACCACACTCTTCCCCCTCTCTTCACTTCGCTTATCCACTGTTCTTGGTTTTTGAACAACTTAACATTTTCTAGGCCATTGATCATTTTGAAAACCAGAAGGTTGTTGAGGCATATTGTTTGAACACCACCATCGTTTTGAAAAAGGATTCAAATTTTTGATCCTCTTTATCCCTTCCTTCCCCACCCGACGAATATCAGTTCTATTCATTCATATTTGCAAGAATTAAACAATCAAGAGGTAATATTCAATCAGAAAACGAACGACAAAATGAAAACTAGAATGCCGCAAACTGAACAATAGGAGTTTATATTACATGACACAGATAGAATTACAACAAATGCACGCAGGTTATTCCACTAAACAGAACAGAATACTGACTACTGCTACTGCTACAAACCCATTCGTAATTCAAACAAATAAACCGATGGTAAACTTCAAGACAGTTTTAAAATCAAAACGGCACCATTAATTTTACCATGCCTAAACATACATACAGTTTTTTTTTTGGACCTATCGCTCGTTAGGGTTAAAATCGCAACGAAACCACTCGCCTCTACTCCTCATCGCCATAGTGGTATTATTCAGTGGTGGCCTTCAAGACTGTGAGAAAACATTGTGATAATTTTAAAATCTATTAGTTTCGCCAAAAGCGCCCTGCTTTTGCTTACATTCAGAGGCATCTACTTACAGAACATGACTTCAGGCTCGCATCTAAATCTCTCATTATATTCGCAATACCATAGCTGACAACAACAAAAAGAACGGCCTTTCTTAGGAATAAATTCATAGTAAACGAATATAAGTATAAATAAACAAACACAAGAAGAATTATTACGATCAATTAATCAATTTATATATTCTTTGAATGATTCAACAGATAATATCTGAATTAATAAAAGAATGATGAATACATTCTCCACCTACATTCATTTAACAAAAAGCATTTGATTTAAAGTATTCTTCACACCTATCTACGTCAATCCTTTCTACTGCAGCAATAAATGCTCTCAACAGAGCAGCATTACGATAATTTTAACAAGTTTATTCGTGGTTTTTTGGCCAGAACCACTCCCTCTAAATACCGTTTTCATCCACTGGTGAGTGATACTGCTCACGCCATCAGATATATAAAACAGCATCTAACCTGCATTTCGCCCCACTGTGATTTTTCTTCATTTAACACAGATGCCGTAAACAGTGGTGTTTCGGGCACTTTCTGATAATGCGTTATCCATTTATGATTCATCGTTTGTTCAATCGTGTATCGTTCACTGGGATCCGTTTTTAACAGCCTCCTTATCAGATCTTTTGCTAAAATTTCTTATTTTTTCATTTCTTCAATGACGACTCCTCAAAACAGATCCGATAGATATACAATGACGATAAAAACAACAAGTACAATAAACAATAAGTAGCAACCCGCTTCCGAGACTTTATCCCATTCAGGTGAGGGGAAGTCATATTTGCCCGAACGAATTCTATTTTTCATGCCGGGCGACATCGGTAGACCGTTCTCAGAAAAGAACGGTGGATAGCCACACAAACTGCAAAATGAACATACAAAAATTCTCATCCTATAAAAATTCGACAAGTGTAACGATGGTAATACGAACAATTATAACAATAACAACAAAAACCGAACGCTTGAAAAGATAATCTCTATAAAAAAACAAGCTTACAGGATATACATTACGACACCAATTGACCACATATCACACGATTTATCATATTTTTCTGGACCAAGCACCTGTGCAAATAACAATAACGATAATAAACGTTGAATTAGATGAAAGAATCAAAATCGGATAGCAAACCTCAGGTGCAGCGTAATAAGGCGTATAACACGGTGTTTCTAATGGCTTTGATTCAGTGTCGTCCACGTATTTCGCAAAACCAAAATCTGTTAGCTTTAAAATACCCGATGGTCCTTCACAACTGCAAATAGTGAATTAATAAACGAAAACACGACTAAACGAATTCATAAATAAACTAATAAAACAAAATCTCGAAAAAAATCCCACGTGTATAAAAGATTTTCAGGTTTGATATCACGATGCGCGATATTCATCTTGTGCAAATGCGCTACTGCTGAGCATATTTCGTACATGACCTGAGCGGCTTCACGTTCAGTGAAAGGCGATTGAGAATGTTGCTGAATTCGACTGAATAGTTCACCACCTCAATTAGTTACAACTATGCATATAAGGTTCATATTCATCCCAATAATAATCAACACTAATACAAATTCCGAAATGCACAATTGTTCATAGATATGTAAGTAGAAATCCCTGACTAACAATTACCCTCGTAATCGATTTATTCACTCACCTTTCATACATTCCATAACCATTAAGAGACACTTTACTTGACCATACGTATTTTCGTATACGTCATAAACACGTACTATATGCAGATGCTCACCAGCCGCGTAATGTAATGCCACCTCACGTCTGGCTTTTGGTACATCGCGAAGCACCTAAATTCTTTCTCTTTCTTTCTTCCTTTTTTCTAACCCATTCCTATTCACTATTGCTGCCTTTTATCTATTTCCCCTTTTAACATTTTACTTCTCATTCCTTCTTCCTCTGGATCATGATCATGAAGACAAAAATCCAAGAAATTTTTTCCACCAAATAACTGAGTAGGAAATTTTGCATTCATTATGATATTTGGTAATTTTATAGTTTAGCTTGGTAGAAATCAAAACGACATTTCATTCGCACTGAAATGTTTCGTTTACTAAAAGCACAGTCAGATGGCAAAAGAAGCATTTGAGAAGGACGACCTAGGAGAATGAAAACGTTGATCAATTCGTCATTATTTGTCGAACCATTTGAAATTATTTTACCGACCTTTTCAACCCTCAGATTTACTCTGCCCAATACTACAACCACATTCTATTGACATGAACTCGCAATTACCTGTCTAGCCCCGTAAATCATTTTAGCATGAATTTGCAATTAAGTACCTATTCAGCAGTTAGAATTACAGTGTGCCTTTAGACCAGGACCAAATGAACTCAAAATTATTCCTTTGATCGCGTAGAATTGTTTTATGAGCTTATTGTAACTCGTTACATCACTCTACACAATACTTCTACTACATTCTACTACAAAGAACTCATAACAAATTATGAAACCCGTGAAGTCATTTTAGGAATCTGCTGAGCTTACTGAAGTCCCGCAGCCAAAAGTTCTCACTGTGCTTTTATACATTCCAGTGCGAATGGAGTCTGTTTTAATTCTACCAACCAAATCTATCAAGTGCTTGTGGGGTACAGTACACTTAAAATATGAATGAAAGGCAGCAGCAATAAATAAATGAATGCAATTTTAAACTAACCTTAAGTGCGAATTTTTCACCCGTTTTGCGATTTTCGCACTCCACTACCTTACCATTGATTCCCACACCAAGAACCTAAATAATAATAATAATAATAATAATAATAATAATAATACAGATGATAATAGAAATAACCGCAGTGATGATGACAATAATAACAACTTTAATAATAATAATAATAATAACAATAATAATAATAATAGCAACGATAATCACCAAAATACCATCATCAATAATTAAAAACAAAAAATTGCCTGTCTACTAATGCGATAGTCCTGAGTGACAGGATGTTTATGTACCAACATAGGCAGCTTTAATTCTGGTGGCATTCGAGATGGTCTTTGAATCTAAAGTATTGAAAATGATAGTCCATTTTTACGAGGAAACGAAGCGATCAATCCCAAATTTATAATATTAATTACAGCAATAATAATAACAACAATAATAATTAATCATAACAATAATATAATAATAAGCACGCATTTCGAGAGAGGATGATGATAATAAGACACTATTCTATTGTCGTCTCGATAAATTCAATCAAACAGATCAATCAGCCCTACTATACTCTTCGACAATCCATAATTTTCCGACGAGTTTAGAATTAAGCGTGCGTGCATTTTAGCCTTATTACCGAAGCAGACTTATGCTCAGGCTCATGCCTAATGGGGCTCACATTTAGGCCTAGACTTGACGTTCACCTTCTGGCTTGCACTTAGGCCCACACGCTAAGGCTTAGGCTTAATCTCAGACTCATTACATTAAGACTCAGCATTATTGGCCTACAAAAATCTTGAGATGAACAGATAATAATAAATGAAATAGTGACAAATAAATAAAATCGATATAAAGATTCATACGAACAGAAAATGATATCGTATATGTTCTGTATCCATATATGCGCTAATGATCAATACAATACAATATAATCAATAACCAATTCAAATCGACAGCCTCCTGCTATGAATACTAACTTAATAATAATATTATGAAACAAAAATACAATCGATGAATCATTTGAACTTGAAGTAACAGTAAACGTTTATTCTTAGCATACGGCGTGAAACACTTTGGAATAAAAAACACTGAAATGCTAATTGTCAACTGTTCATGTCTCCATATGGGGCAATACCCGTCTTCTTCAACAATAATAATTCAATCAATACAATATAACTTTTAAGTCCTCTCTAAGATGTACTGTAATTATTATTAATTCGTATACATATCATTATAACCAAATTCACCACTGCAAATTCATTTTTCATCAACATACAACAAACAGTACACACGATTATCTCTCCACTGTAACTATCTCTTCACTGCAAAATTCATTCTCAAATTCATCAATCATGCCGCACATATACAACACAAATACCAAATCTAGTGCACACTTTTATAAACAACATGCACATGCACATCAAAAGCATTAAAATGTGCACAACAGTGATTAGCTGTATGGTTTTACAACTAAACACGCATGAATCTCAGCCTCCTGCAAGTCTCAGCTAAGCCTAAGTCACTGAATTTAACTCGAGTTGAAAATACTACCTAATGGGATATATGTTTGCTTGTACGCTTTGAAACATTTCCACCCGTTGCCCATAAATATTGAAAACTGATGACACTATAATCTTTTCAACACAAACAAACTTTACATAACCTGCTTAGTTACCTACTAACAGTTTATTAAATCTTGACAAATTACTACATCATATTGGAAATAACAAGAAAACATAACAGAATAAGATGAAGATGTTAAAGACTGACTGCAAAAGTGGAGCGCAATAAAGTAAAAACAGCAAGCTGGTAGCTGCTGCCTATTTGCCTGGCTATTTCGACTCTTATCTCTTATCAGTTTATTATTGATGCGGCGCGCCTCATTGCTTGGTGTGATACATGAATACTGACAATCGATTAATGTTAACGACAACAAATACAGCAGCGAATAATAAGTGAAAATACAACGGATACAAATAAACAAACCAAACCAAACAGTTAACAACAAAAACCTACTCCTCTTCCTATAGGTATCTACGTAATGAATGCTATAAAAAGTATTAGTTATTGGCTGGCTAAACGATCATATGTAAAATGAAATATGATATCAAACCACACAACAATGTCTATGAATACATAATACAACTATGTAACTGTATCAGTCAACGATTGAAAGTATTATGTACAAGAAACCTTCTGTCTACAAGAATCAAACCCTTTCCACTTATCTTACACAAACGAGCCACAATGAGTCTCCATCAGATCTCTCAACTAGCTTAGAACAAATAACTTCTACATATAAAAACGAATATGTAAAATTCAAGCACATAACTAACTTTGTCTGATTTTGTATTCGAACTGTTTAAGGCTACTGTTGCATCAATGGCAGTAATAGCAGCAGCAGAAACACCAGCCCAAACATTCGATTGGATCAGTCGACTGCTACTGCTTTGTTGTGCACAATCTTTGTTTCGATCAGAGGTTGCATTAGGAGGTGGATGTTGTTGGTGTTGATAATGATCGCACGTCGGATGTTGTTCTGGTGCAAAACTAAATGCAGAATCCTTATTCGAATTCTTATGGCTCGACGACGATTGTGCTGTTGTTTCTATGTTTCCCATCATCAGAAACTAAAAACAATATTCAAAAAAAAAAACATCCACAACCACGATAACGATAATAAAACATTAATAATAATAATAAAACATTAATAATAATAATAACAATAATCATTTTCATAATAATAATAACATTAATAATAATAATAATAATAATAACAACAAATACAACAACAACAACAACAATATCCATACAAATATCAGTACTACTATTCATCTACCGCCGACCTACTTTTCCTTTCCTTTATTCAATAAAAAATTTCGTTCTTAATCTGCTCGCTGATGCACTTTCTTTCACTACTTTTGATGGTAGACGTTCAACAGTGATGCTTTATGGCGATATTATTATTACTTTGTCGTCGTCTCCGTTGACAGGTCATGACTGCCGATTGATAATTGATTTCGCGATTTATTTGAGTGGAGATTTCGATAGCAACAAGACAACAATGACAAAGAAGAAAGTGTACGATGAGTGGGTGGTTGTTTGCGTAAATTTATTGATAACTAAGAAACAAATGTGTGTATTTGTATAGTTGATAGTTGAACGATGAAGTATACATCAAGTAGCTGAATTGCGACTGATTAGAATCTATCGCATATCACATCTTTTGATTGTTTCCTGGGAATTTTCCAACTCGAAAATGAAGATGTGGATGTGAAAAATATGACGATATGGCATGGCATGTTGCTGATGATGATGAGATAGCTTCTGATTATGAATATGTAATATCGTTAGAGTTTCGATGCTTCTTTAGTAGATTGTTTGCATTCTTGTTTGATGCACTGAGTAAGCAACCGATGTACAGAATAATCCGAAATGATGACATATATTTTTAATGCGAACATCTCGACGTAAAAAATGTCGTACGGTCCAGAATACCCTCATAACACAGTCACCATAGAAAGCATATTAAAAAAGGTTCAACAATTCTTAATACCATATCCTAGCCATTATTATGAAGATTGCATTATTTAGCTTATCAACTCGAAGGGCTGATTTCTCTAACGATGTTTTCTAACAGTTTTCCAACTATTCGGGGCTTTCTGCACATACGTTATCCTTGAGGAAATCCTTAAGGAAGTAATCCTTCAAAGATTAAATCCAGAGATGCCGATATCAAAGAATATCAGTGAACCTCGTAATCAAATTTCTCTAATTGTGCTGTATTACTAGTGGCACCATTTTATTGTGTGCACATATACTTCGGGCTAATTATTTGCTTCTCTTCAAGTGAAACAGGAAACGCATGAATACTCTCTTCTTGATGATGGCCATCTCAGGAATACATTACTCAACGAACTCATTTCTCATATGCTCTAGTACGTTTAACATGTTCTAAAAACAGTATGACAAACTGGTTGCGGCAATAAACGATTCAAATTTTTCGTCATCAGAGGACGGGGGGCGGGGGGATTTTAACTGTTGAATAATCACGACCTACGAATTGGAGTAATCTGTGCGACCGCATGAACTGATGTGCGCGGACTGGGAACTGGATAAGCAGATCAATGCTCACTACATGGTTTGCAAACTCAGATTCAGTGATGCTCAAAAATTTTTTTTAATTGACTTAGCTGCAGTTCCAATTCGGCAGTTATGAAATGCCAGCTCCATTTGCAGTCTCGGCCTTATATTTTTTTAAAACTCGCTCCCGACTCTGGTTCCGGGAAGTTAAAATTTTGACCGCAACTTCACTGACGAATTTCCAGCTCCGTGACTTTCGGAAGTTCAGCTCCTGCTCCAGATCTGCATTCTTGGAAACCGGCTCCAAATTACCATTTCTCAAAAGTTCGGCTCCACCTCCAGTTGCGACTGTGCATTTTTTAAAATTTCAGCTCCAACTCCAACTTTTTAGGAAGGTTATCTCCGGTTCCAATTCAGGAGTTCTACGATTTGGGCTCCAACTCCGGCTCCACATTCTTCAAATTTTCTACTCCGGCTTCAAAATTAACTTTGCTGCACTGCGATTGCAGCTTCGAAACAATTTGGATCCTGAGGAAGGTTATCATGCAGGTCTTATACAGAGTTGAGGGTTGTTGTGATTCTTTTTTTTGTTGAACGAGCAAAAAAATCTGTCTCCCAGACCCGAGCATCATTGTTTGTGGCGCATATATGCAACGTCTGTTCTGATTAATAAATAATCTGTCAATTCTAATCATCAATCACCATTAATGAATTTATACGCATTTTACGGGAGCCATCGTGAGGCCCACGCGGGTAAGACCTTGCTACACCACTGCATACAAACAATTAATCAAATGCTAATCGTTTTCTTAGTCACTCTCGAATTCATTAATTCAATATTCCCTTCAACATTAACAGTTGCGATCGTTAAAATAATCATGATAACAAAAATGAGAATGTCATTAGAAAGCAACAACAATAGTTATAGCAGTCACTTTAGAGAATAGGTTAAAATAACAATAACAACAATCTTAATAATAACAATGTGCAATGGTGCTACGAATGATAATATAACAGTAACGATAACAACAAGAACAATGATCGTGATAAATTGAAGGTTATGCTTTACGGTATATACTGCGACATTGCGACAACGTAGACATATGTTGTAGCAATATCACAATGATCGTATAGAATGTATTGATATGGATATCTACGAGGATATACTGATATGGATATTGTTTTGAGGATATCTTCATATGGGTATCTACAAACGTACTATTGAGTAATTTATGCTTTTCCAATCTACATATGCAGTTATGTTTCT